GCGACATTAATCATTCAACACTGGAGGGGATTGATTGCTTGACGAAAACCTAGCATCATCACCCTGCCCTACACCACTCATTTACTGCGACATTAATCATTCAACATCGTGAGGGGGGGGGGGGAGTCATAGCAGGGTCCGAAGATGACCTACTCTACGAAGCCCTAGCATCATCGCCCTGTCCTACTCCACTCATTTACCGCTGGCTGGAGCATTCAACATCATGACAGGGGAGGGGAAGACATAGCAGGGCTTGAATTAATAGATACTCCTAATAAAACCTAGCAGAAAGTACTACATCTGTAATCTCGTCCAAATGAAAGTAAATCACAAAGAAAGGGACCTGTATCTCCCATTCAGCAATCTGCACACAACTGCCATCTCGCCTAAAGGGCAGTAATTAGACAAGGCCCACAAATGTAGTGAGTGCATCGACACTTACGACATCACAGCAGAGATAGTGATTAAACAAGGCCCTCAAACCTTATGAGTCTAGCGACTCTCACGACATCCATAGCAAAGAGGAAAGGTGACGAGGTAGGGTTCAATAGACATCCCATATCCTCCTCACGGCAACCCAAACCCCACACCCAGGGGGGGTCAAAGGACACAAAGTCGCACTTACCATGATCTCCTGTGATTTGGTAGGAGTTGCTGCCCTCGTAGCCGTCGTAGTCATTATCGGCAGAACCTTCCATGTAGTTTATTTATTTGTTGTCAGTGATCTTGTAGATGTCTGCGTCGTAAGTGTCGTCAAAGTTGTTGAGATCGTTGTTGCTGTTGAGTGCTGCGTTGATGTAGCATAAGATGTCATCATCATAGGCGCTGTTGAAGCAGTTGTTGACATTGCCCCAATGAGCTCCGGGGTAGCCACCGTTATTGTATTCGATGCTGTTGTTGTTGTTGATGATGTTGTCGTTGCCCGTAACGCAGACTCCCCTGAATAAGCAACAGATTGGAGACTTCAGCCTCCCTGCACACTTTACTCGACATCCTCTCTTTCATCGCAGCATAGTAATCCACCCCCTGCTCATAGATCGTGTTGCAATTGGAGATCAAATCTTCTGCCCTCCGCCAATCAACGAAAGCCTCCAGAGTCGGATCCTTTCGGATCTGCAATAGGATAGTCTCCAATTGAAGAAACTTATCCTCCAACCATGCAGCCAGGGCCGATCCCCCCCAATCCACCATCAACCAGGCCCGTGCCACGGAGGACAAGACTCCGACAATCTGCTGCATGCGTCATTGTGTATGTTCCAGTTCGGACAGCCACACCTCTACCTGGCGCTGGAGTTCCTCGGGTGAAGCCATGTCCTCTAGAATCGCCACGTCTGGTAATCCCTGCACAAGGACGCCTTCTTCGCACTGGCAACGAGATGCCACCATCTCGCCCGCACCTTCACCTGCCCCGTCAGTCAAACCCAATTGATCCATCGCTGATTGACCCACTAGCAACCTCCGATGATGACCGTCACGTCAACTCGTTTGGTCCTCATCGGTAACACCAAGTCGTTGGATCTGGAGACCGTCGGGCCTGCCGGCCGGTACGCTCCCAACGCGCTCGCGCCTATTCCTTGTTTCGGAACCTGTTCGGCTCCCCTTCAATACTTCTACCTATAGGGTAACACAAAACTTATGAACTCTGTCTAAAGCGACAGCCCGGACTGGTAAAAACTTGAAATCACAACTCCCTCCACATTACACCAACTGCCTTCCTCCTGTGGTAAAGGAACCGAGTGCAGGTTCAAAGCTTCCTAATCCTTCCAGAACCAAAAATCTGTTAGTTTCTGCCTTTCCAGATCACTGCAATGCATACTGCTCTTCCAGCCTGGGCAATATAGCCCGTACCTTTCTTCGTGTCAAGGCTTTCCGGAATACCACCCAACAGTGTCCACTCCCTGTCCCAATTAAAGTCTAAGCCCAACTGTTGTAACCATTGGTTAGCCCAGCAATCCCAAATGCGCTTCGAAGCAGGGCAATCATACCACAGATGTGAGGTGGACTCATATGCCCAATTACATCTTTTGCATGCCAAGTCCACTTTGATTCCCCTTCGGTCCAGGTTCAGTGTCGTACCCCCGTTCACCGTTCACGGGGTCTGTGGACGGAGACCGGTCATGGAGTTCACGACGTTCATGACACGGGAGTTCATGGAGTTTGCGGAGAGCGGTATTTTATTTATTTATTTATTTTTGGCTGGGGGGATACTTTTTTTTTTATAGGAGGGTGGGGGACATCGAAGGGCAACTCCCTATAATTTTTTCAATTTTTTTTTTTCACGAATAGTTTTTTAATTAAAAAAGAAAAGCAAAAAAAAATCAACCAGCCAAAATAAGCATTTTCGTTTGCTATTTTGTAGGGCATTTCGATTTTTTTTTTTTTTATGTCATCACGCTGTGGGGCTTGAGGCGAATGTCCCCGGGGGAGCCCCCCCCCCTCCCCCCCCCCCCCAAAAAAAAAAAAAAAAAAAAAAAAAAAAAAAAAAACTGACAAGAGGATGAGATCGTTTTTTTTTTTTTTTTTTTTTTTTTTTTTTTTGAAGAGATGAGATCCTCCCGCCTGTCACGAGCGTTTCCTCGAAAGACCTCGAGTGGTCTTGTGAGTGGTCTTGTGAAACGGCCCACTCGAAACGGTATATTGGCAAACAAAGAAAAAAAGAAAAAGTGGAGATTCCAAGGGCCTGGCTCCACTACCCTCGACATGCACAAAAGACAAATTCTGACCGTGTATCTTTCCATGTTCTAGGCAAAGATTCACTCTCTCGTTTTACACGCGTCTATAGCAGTGGAGCCAGGCCCCATTGTGCATATGGGCCTTGATGCACTATGCTAGACACATGAAAATTTTCTAGAGTTTGTCTAGAGCTCTCAGACTCCTGGATTGGCATCAAGTGCTGTTGTCGCTGCACTTACTCCGGACTCTCGACTCTCGTGACGGACATACACTACACGACAGGGCAGCGACGATTTGTCCACCGAGACGGGATGCCAACTCTCGAATTTGCAAACCGCATGAAGGGACCCATCGGCCTCATTTGAAAAAAACGATCCTGCAGGCGGGAACTGTGGAAACTTCAAGAGCTCGGCCGATGGGCCATTTCTGACACCTCTTGAAGCGCAGGACCAAGAGCAGTTTTCCACAGTTAGTGCAACGATGACTCATTCTCGATGTTTTCGAGAGTGAATCTGACAGCTCTTGAATAGAAATCCAGGACACGACATCAGCGGTGATGAACTCTTGATTTTTCAAGAGTCAAGAATCGTGCAGCAAGGCCCTATAGAAAGGCCTCGGTGTTTCAAAAGTCTGTGTGGTGAGGGGGGGGGCCTTTTGATGAGCAGACTTTCAAAAAAAGTCGGACACCTTTCGAAAAATGCCTTTGTTAGAAAGCCTATGTGGCGAGCCCCAGTACTTGGCCCAGCTATCGGCCGCGGAAAGAAAATAGAGTAGAAACGTTTCTAGTCGGATGAATTTGGGCGCTCCTGTAGTAGCCCATACGTTTCCTAAATGGTGGCACGTTAAGGGGCACAACTGTCTTTTTTTTTTTTTTTTTTTTTTGCTCAAAATCAATGCATTATAAAGGTAACCAAGAGGTCGGGGACCTCACAATTCTACCCAAAGTATCTGGCAGCATGAGCCAGCTTAGCTTACAGGCGCAGCCTGCGAGTTATGCCATTGGCAAACTCCAACCAACTTAGTAAAACCAGAACCAAAACCAAAACAGGGCTGGAAAATATCAAGGCACAGAAGGGCCAACACATAGGCGGCTGTCCTGAAATTCCAGGCCCTGGGAAACAAAAATCCTGCTACAAACCCAGAAAGCCTCACAAACCGAAAAAACAGGAAAGTAAACCACGCTGCAAGCCTTACAAAAACCCACACAATACCCAAAAACCGAACTCTGCTCTAGCCTACCACCCTATCCTAGACTAAACTACAGGGTAATACTTCTTTTTTTTTTGAGAAAACTAGGGCGCGGTCAGGGTTAGAGTTTGACAATACGTTTCAAACTGCCGTTTTGGAGTCCAGTCCCCTCTAAAGTTTACACTGCAGTCCAAACTCCTCCATCGCGTGGCTGTCGCACGACAGAGTTTGTAACTGCAATCTAGTCATCCACGTCGGAGGGCCAGGCAGTTTTCCAAAGGTTGAGTTATGGCGTAGAGGTTACCCGGATGCTTACTTCGACAACTCTTTAATTAACTTCTCTAACAAATTCTCTGGTGTCTGGCAGGAGTGGGTAGACATTCTGACCGGATGGGAAACCCGACCGTACTGGGGGAAAGCCCGAAGTTAGGGCCTACATTTTGCCGGAACAATTCTTTGTTTTGAGTCTGAGCCTGAATAAGGCCTGTGACAGTGAAACAGTTAGGATGATGTAGTTCGGCGGTACCTTCTTTTTTCAGAACTCAGGTAGGATGATGAAGTTTGACGGTACCCGACTTTTCGGAAACTAAGCCCGAACAGGGCCTGATGGTAACAACAGATAGACCCGTTTTTTACCTACTTATGATTGAGTTCTTTTTTATACAGGCTGAAGCAAGTCAGAAGGATAAAATGGTGTTTGTCTTGAGAATTGGTGACGGCCGAAAGTGGCGGTGTGATGAATTGCTTTGGGAGTGACGAGAACCTTGATACATTGAACCTGTCCAAGTCTTAGCTAGTTCCTAGGAATAGGTTACTACCTTACGCGAGTTAAATAGGATTCAATAGACTTAACTACCTACTTGCGTCGATTTGTCATTACTCCTCTTTCTTCTTCTTCTCTCCTCTCCTCTTCCTCCTCTTCTTCCTTCATCTTCTTCTTCTTCTTCTTCTTCTTCTTCTTCTTCTTCTTCTTCTTCTTCTTCTTCTTCTTCTTCTCAATCTTCCATTTGACTTCTGTGTGTCTCTTGGATCAGCTACCATGACGCTACTTGGATGTTGGCATGGTCGATTTTGGTTGTTGACAACAACAACTTTGATTCACAAAGTAACCGTCGTAGAGGTTACACTATGGCTGCGTGGCTTTGCAACTTTCTTGTACCACTGCTGACGCTTCAAGCATGGCTATGAATGGAGCTGCCAACCGAGGATGCTACAACTGCGGACAGATGGGGCACTTCATGCGTTTCTGCCCATTTCCGCCTCGGAGTCAAGTCGCTAATCCAAACTCTGCTACAGTACCTGTACAGACACTTATTCTCACAGCGCCAAACCAAGCTGGAGCGTACAATGGGAATACGGGGCAGTATAATCGAGGAGGTGGTGGCTGGAACTATACCAACCAGCGCATTGCTAACTTGGAGGAGCAAGTATCGAAGTTTAAAATCCAGTACAACGCCGAAGAGGAACGGGAGAAGATCAAGAAAGAAGAGGAGGAACGAAGATTGAAGATGGAGGAGGAAGAGAAACAGAGAGAACAGGACAAAAAAGATTGTGAAGCCGCATACAAGAAGATGGCAGACGAGATGAATGCACGTTTTGATAAAGTATCCGAAGTATTGGAGAACAAGAAGACAAAGGATAGCACAAGTGAGATCATGAAGTTGAAGGTACAGATCGAAAAATTACAATAGCGGAAGGATCAACCTTCTAGTAGCAATGCGGTTATCGAGAACGATACGATGAGGAGACTTAGAGAGTTGGAGGAGTTCAAGAGAAGTGCACAATCTGAAGCGGACCGACGGGTGACCTTGCTTGAAGAAGAAGTCAACATGCTGAAGCTACTTCACAAACGTGTTCAAGACGAGGCAGAATCCTGGAAACAAGAGGTCCTTCGGCCTGGAAAGAAACGAGGCAGTATTGCTATCGAAGCATCGCCAACTTTGCTCGCCGATTCCAACAACGGTGCGTCGTGGCAACGTTGCAGAGTTAGACGAAGTGCATTGCAAGGAGGTACAATTCCTGAAAGAGCTGAGGAGCCGAGATCTCAACGACAGGCGCATTGCGAAGCAGGAAGCCGAGTTGATGAAGCAAGGGAAAAAATGGCGGTGCAAGAATTGGAAAAATTGAAGGAGGTTGTTGCTCGATTAAACTTGGAAAAGCAGTGTGCTGGGACTACGAGTAATCTAAAAAGCAAGATGGATGTCGTCGCTCCGGGTTCTGGAAGAACAAAAGGGAAAAGACCTGCCACGACGAGCAAGGCAGCGAAACAAGCTAATGACAAGCAAGGCTTCATGGCCGACGCACGGCAAAACTTGAAAGGTTTGAAGAAAGTTGCAATGAGGGCGTTGTGTATACAACACTAGAATGCACGAAGGAGGCGATAGTCATGCCAGGTGCGTTCGTTGCATTTGACTCGGTGGCTGTGGAAGAAGTTCCGGATGACTCTGCGCAGAGTGCAGACGTTGCAGAAGCCAGCAGGGAAGACACTGTTTCTTAGCTGAGTCCTCGAACGTTGCTCAACTGTGGCAATTTGCTTGTCGATGTAGACATGTTAGGTCCACCTCTTCTGAGATTCTGCGATGTAAGTTGCTGAATGTTTTTCTGTGTATGATCGTTCTCCAATTGTCCCTTGCTGGTCAAATTCCTTGGGCTACTAAATACGTTAGTTTCACAAGTCGACTGTTGGTGAATGATTATGATTTCGATAGATATGATGGACCACTCGTGTATGCACTGATATCACCATGGAATCGACACGTGTATATAGGAAGCACCTCTAGGAATCTGTACACCCGATGGCGTGAACACGTTTACAAGGCTACTAACGAAAAACCTTAGGAAGGTCAACGGAATGAGAAGTTATATCAGTGGTTGAGAAGGTGTGGTACGGAGTCTTATGTTCTTATTCCTATATGCGCATGTAGTGAAGACGATCGCTTAGATTCTGAAAAGTTTTTTATTCATCATTTTTCTGCTTCACTGAATGCACGTGACAAACCACGGCGTCATCGGAGATGTCGCATAGGGCAGCGTGAAAGACTACGCAAGAAACGACTATGCACGCAAATTTTACCAGTTCTTGTGCCAACAACGAAAGCAGTCTTGATTTTCCACAGCAGTACGGGTGTGGTTTCCACGAGTTTGCTAAAAATCCTACGTCACTGCGCTGATAATAATGTCAATCGATGTGTTGTGAAATGTACGGGAGAAAGTGTGTTTGTCAATTCTTGGAAAGTTATCAAGCGTTGTTTTGGAGGTTCGATTGTTGAATGTGTACATGGTCATAATCAACTTCGGAAATCACGAGGGTGGATTGTTGATGGGTCTACTTTGAATTTTATCTCTGTTGCAACCTATTTGAATAAGTCTCTAAGTCTGAAAGCGCCATTAGCTAGACTGTTGAGTCAACCAGTAGGTAGATTGAGCCTTGGCGGTTGGAGTTTCGATCAGATCGTGTATGGCTTCAGTACGGTACGTTCGTTTTCTGAGAAACGCACTCGATGTCGTCTTCGACACATATTGTCCAGCCATGCGAAAAGTCGGTTTCAGATACAGATACGGCAGCGAGTTGTCGTTCGCATTGCCTATAACGAAAGTATTAATAAGTCAAAAACTAGGAAACTGTGTGCCAGCGTCATTAGGTCCCTTGATATCTCTTGTGCCTGGAAAGACTTTTTGATTCGTAGAATTCGAATAGTATGGTGCCGTAACAAGACTGTGGGAGACCTGTTCTACAATTTCCGTGACTATTCTAGAAAGGAGTCTGTGAGCTGCATATGTGACAGTCGTGATGGCTGTTTACCTAGACGAGGAGGGAATGTTGCTTTTCGTGCTAGTGATGTTGCTTTCCTCCCTTCGATCTTCTCTAACTCACGTAATATCCTGGTATCTCCTATCAATCGTTTATTTCCATACTACGTCGACAAATCATTTCTACCTTCCAACAACATTCTTCCCTACCTACGGTCCAATTGTCGTCTGTTACGAATGAACTCGTTGCTGGATGTCTCAACACTTTTGTTCCTTCTTTGTCGAGACCCTCTTCCTCTTCTTCCTCTTCTTCTTCTTCTTCTTCTTCCTCTTCTTCCTCTTTTTTTTTTTTTTTTTTTTTTTTTTTTTTTTTTTTTTTTTTTTTTTTTTTTTTTTTTTTTCTTCTTCTTCTTCTTCTTCTTCTTCTTCTTTACCTATCCTCAACGATCTGGTCGTATGCCCTATCGATCACAATCTGGGTGATTCCTATATCTACTGTCCAGTTGTCTATCGTGGGGGGTTGAGAAAATTTTTTCTTAATAACCCGACTTTTTCCCTTTGCAACTCTGACGAGAAGACGATTCTGTCCAATTCACGTTCTGAATACACTTCGAAGGGTCTTCAGGTTGTAGCGAAATGGAAGACTAAAGGGTTTTTGGGGAACGCGTATTGTATACCGAAACACAAGGACGTGGAAAAATGGCGCCCAATATGTTCGTCTCATTCTGAGTGTTCATCTACTGCGGGAAAACGGATTTCAACTGCTGTCAATCAATTACTATGGTCTATTCCCCCCTCTCTTCACTTTAATATGCGTGCCACATCTGATCTTATGACGAAAATTGCTATGATCAACAAGGGACTTAAAAAAAATGACTTTATCACAGGTGCTTCTTTCGACATCAAAGAGATGTTTTCCAATCCCCAACACTCTTCTATTCTCGACGCGGTTAGATGGGTCTGTGATTACTGGCTAGGCAAAGGATATAAAGGTGTTTTTGTCGCTATTAGAGGGAAGCAAGCCAAACTTCAAAAAGGCAAGATAGCAGGGGGTTGGATTGCGATCAATTTTTTCGTGATCTATGACTTTGTCCTGTTCGAACTTGAGAACACATATGTCAAAGCTGGCGGTAGTATTCTTCGTCAAACTATAGGTATCCCAATGAGGAAATCTTCTAGTCCTGCTCTAGCCTGTCTCCTTTGTGCCTTTAACGAATTCATGTTCCTCTCTTTTGTTGATAGGATTCGACCTCGGGTGTTTGGATGTAGACTGGAAGATGATGTATCATTATTTGTGGTGTGTAATTCACAAAAGGGTGTGACACGTGAAGATGGAGCTCAACTTATTCAACGGTTCTCTACCTGCTACGATAAGAGTTTAACTTTGGAACAGATGAATTCTGGTCACGGCTGGGATTTCCTTGGATGTATCGTCAAGATTTTTGAAGACACAGGAGGAGTAGCGTGTTTACCACTCCACAAGAATCAGCGGCAATGGAGCAGGGAGAAGCTAATGTTTCAGAGCATACAAGATTTCAACTCATACTCCAGTAAACAGCAAAAAATGGTTGTTATTGGATCATTCCTACACAGAGCAAAAGCCTTCACCACCATAAAAGGTACAAGATTTCCTTTTTTATTTGCTTTCAAGGTTGAGTTATGACGTAGAGGTTACCCGGATGCTTTCTTCGACAACTCTTCAATTAACTTCTCTAATAAATTCTCTAGTGTCTGGCAAGAGTGGGTAGACATTCTGACCGGATGGGAAACCCGACCGTACTGGGGGAAATCTCGAAGTTAGGGCCTACATTTTGTCAGAACAATTCTTTGTTTTGAGTCTGAGCCTGAATAAGGACTGTGACAGTCAAATAGTTAGGATGATGTAGTTCGGCGGTACCTTCTTTTTTACGAACCCAGGTAGGATGATAAAGTTTGACGATACCCTACTTTTTGGACACTAAGCCCGAACAGGGCCTGATGGTAACAACAGATAGACCCGTTTTTGACCTACTTATGATTGAGTTCTTTTTTATACAGGCTGAAGCAAGTCAAAATGATAAAACGGTGTTTGTCTTGAGAATTGGTGACGACCGAAAGTGGCGGTGTGATGAATTGCTTTGGGAGTGACGAGAACCTTGATACATTGAACCTGTTCAAGTCTTAGCTAGTTCCAAGGAATAGGTTACTACCTTACGCAAGTTAAATAGGATTCAATAAACTTACCTACCTACTTGCGTCGATTTGTCATTACTCCTCTTTCTTCTTCTTCTCTCCTCTCCTCTTCCTCCTCTTCTTCCTTCTTCTTCTTCTTCTTCTTCTTCTTCTTCTCAATCTTCCATTTGACTTCTGTGTGTCTCTTGGATCAACTACCGTGACGCTACTTGGATGTTGGCATGGTCGATTTTGGTTGTTGACAACAACAACATTTTCCAAAAAAAAAAAAAAGAAACAAGAAGAAAAAAAGAAAGGCTCGTGACACTTTATCTTTCCATGTTCTAGAGGAAGATTCACTCTCAGTTTCCACCATCCAAATGTGCAAAACGAGAGTGAATCTTGGCTAGAACATGGAAAGATACAGCGCCACGATTTCATTTTTTTTGTGCAACGGGGATAGTGGGGTCCAACGAGATACACGGGCCAGGCCGTTTTCCAAAAAAAAAAAGAAGAAACAAGAAGGAAAAAAAGAAAAGTTCGTGGCGCTGTATCTTTCCATATGCTAACAGGAGATTCACTCTCAATTTCCACGATCCAAATATGCAAAATGAGAGTGAATCTTCGCTAGAACATGGAAAGATACAGCGCCATGATTCTTTTTTTTTTTCTGCAACGGGGATACAGGGGCCCAACAAGATACACGGACTGACAACAACGCAGAGGCCCTAGAGGATACACGTGCTGACAACAAAACTTTTTTTTTTTTTTTTTTTTTTTTTTTTTTTTTTTTTTTTCCTTTTCAGATTTCCCTACCTATGCGAGTCATCCTT